TTTTTTCTTTACCACAAAAGAAAAGAGAGTGGGTTTTCACCCATCGTAACGTTGTATTGCCTTTAGAATGAGTTGTCACACTAACATCTGAATCATACTGTCATGCTATTGTAGTCGTGTAAAGTGTTAGTATTGTTACGTGTAGTCTTCAAGAGGATTTTTACCAATAAAATACAATATATGCAGGCCTTGTAGGAACAGTTCTTGCTAAAGAAGGCAGGATATCTAATGTTTCTGATTTTTTCTCTGGTGCACTTAAGGTAAATTTGGATAATGACCACAATTGCAGGGTGCCAACTTAAACTTTTCCAAATTATCTGATGAGAGAGAACTTTTCATCACTTTTACTTGCAGATTGCTTTCAAGCAACTCAAACAAGATGATTCAGCTGCTTCGAGTTCCAAACCAAGAAATGATCTTTTGGTGCAACAGGTTGGTGTTTGTTCTCTTTATTAGGGTTCCTATACCTGTTATATCCAAGTTTGACTTCTTTACTTGGTAGTGGCCAAGACATTTATTCCATGATGTAAATAAATGAATTGAGCATTTGTTTATCTGTGTTCTTTCAGGTTAACAGTATTCGTCAGGAGCTGCAACTTCTGGCATCAAATAGATCTGTTACAATTGTTACTGGAGACCGATCAGGTTGATTTAGCAATTTCAGTTAACAATGAGAGCATTTGATGTGATTATCTTTTCCTGACGGAAATGTTGCAGTTGGTTTTACCGAAAACTGGTTGCATGCACTATAATTTCATGCACTGTACCCTCAAACTTCCAATGAGTAAAATATTTTGAAGCGTGCTACTTTTTGGGACCTGAACATTCTATTCTGCCTTTAATATCTGCATCTGCTTTTTGCTGGTGGTATTTTACAGCTCTTGATCATCTTTTCATTTTCTTTAACCTTCAGTTGACCACATGCAAGACACTAATATTTGGTGCATAACAGTGTACTATCATGTTTTATAATTGTGTGCCTCTGATTCATCAAATTATCAGTTTTATATCTCTAATTTTTCTGCTGTTAGAAGACTGGCTATAATCTTGTATAAATTTGTGGGTTTATTTAGAAATGGACAGTTTTAGCATGTTGTCACTTGACGCCTTGATATCTTTATTGATATGAAAGCTTGCTGTCCTGTTATTGTTGATACATTTTTCCAAACTGAATGGAAACATTAATTGTTTATTTGAAGTAATTCATCAATGTTGCATATGAGTTAGGAATCTTTGGATGCCTGTAGATATTTCTGCTTGATCCTTTTTTTTTTCTCTGAATAATTCATCAATGCTGTTTTATTAACTGACTGTATCTTCTACTTCTTTGCAGGATCTGGCAAATATGGTGTGCTTGTTATTGTTGTAGTTGTTGGATATGGTTACACTTGGTGGAAGGTAAATTCCATTTTCCGTTATGGCTATGTATGGCTGTCTATCAAATGCCACTTTTCACTTTCCTACGGCCAGAAATTGGATTTATTTATAAGTGAAGATGTCACTAAAAATGAATTTATTCAGTCTTTGCCTTTCTATGGCTATAGGATTTTGGAAACAAAACATCAGAAACAGTTTCACTTTATCACAAAAATATTTAACACTCTTAAAAAACTATAAGTATCATTCAGTCCAAATCATGGAAGCTTAAACAACAACTGAACTTTTTCAATTTTGTTTGAATTCAGTAACTTCTCAAAATTCATTTTCCAATACTAGAAACTAGAGATTGGAACATGGAAATCCATCCATTCAAGATTTTTTTTTCTTTGACCAATTTTCTTATAACTCTTTGTTGTAATATTACTTCTTAATTTTTAACTAAGACGTAAACCTTGTGTAAAACAAGATATTGGGAAGTTCCTGTATCTTTTAGTACCTGTATATATGCAGTCAGATGAAAAAATCCTTCTGAGCAGAGGTCCATTGTGAACCATAGCTTTCATTTAGAGGGGATATATACTGAAACCCCTATTCTATTGGCTTACTGATGCAATATATGACATTTTCAACTTGCAGGGCTGGAGACTTTCTGATATGATGTTTGCAACAAGGCGTGGCTTAAACGATGCTTGTTCATCTGTGGCAAAACAGCTTGAGAATGTTTACTCCTCGATTTCGGCAAGTTTTTTTGTTTTAACATACGATATTGATTTATTATTTGGTGCATAATGGGTTATTTTCTTTGACGTGCATAACCTTTTGTCTTCTCTTTCTCAAAAGCTTCCCCAGTTCCCCTCATATTGAGGTGGTTATAAATTTATTGAAGTATTCCATATTTTATGGTAATGCATTATTCTAGTTTGTGTTACTTTTCTTGTTGTTGAAGAACTGCATTCGCTTTAAAATTTAACGATTCACAGTCTCTAATCTCTGTGGAAATTTAGTACGCATGCATATGTATACAAGCTTTATCAGCCATAATGTTTTTGTCCAATTTCCTTGAGAAGCAACTTTAATGGCATGTATGTGTGGTATGCGTGTTTAGTATGATCTGTTGCATATGATCCCAATATAATCATAATATTGTTCATTGTTGGTGTGCTGTATCTGTCAAATTTTTATGTTGTTTTTACCCTACACAGAGAAGTAACACACAAGTGCATTCTCTAATGCCTACTACATTTAATTTTGGATCTCAATAATTTTTTTTCGAAACTTTTCCAGGTCACAAGGAAGCACTTGTCCTCGAGGATTGACCATGTAGATGGTAAAATTGACGAGTGTGCTGATAATACAGCTGCTACAAAAGAGGAGGTCAAGCAAAATTAGTAGTTTAGTTCGCCCCATATTTTCCTAAAAATAATCTTGTCACTGATTTATCGACTTATACAGGTATCTGAACTACGAGGTGATGTGAAACTAATAGGTTCTGATGTGCAATCTGTTCATTATGTCGTGCGATCATTGGTGACCAATCTCTTTCCTTCACTACTACATCCCTATTCCCTTTTTCGAATCTTAAGTTTGCTCGGTCAGACCTGAAATCAACCTTGACCTTTTTCCATGTCACAGGAAACTAAAATTAGCAGGATTGAAGGAAGACAGGTAATATTCATCATAATCTTCTGGTGTCCGGTTCGACTCTAGCCTAATTAAGTTTTCAATTATGTTTGTCATTGTGTAGAATGAAATGAACTTTGGAGTCGGTAAGCTGGTTACATTCGTTAGGAACCTCGAAAATAGCAGAAGCACGGAACAGATTGAGGTACGATTATATAATCTCGGATTTTTTTTTTTTTTTTTTTTTAATTTTCCTCTCACACTGTTATAAAGATTTATAACCGACTTCTCAGGGAACTGCATCAAGTTCTGTTAGACCTGCTCTTGAATTGCCACAAGTATCTCCATTAAGGGTAAAAAGTTATTTCACTAATATATACAGTTGCCTACATATACATAGCCATTGATGTAAGTTATCCATTTTACTCGTTTGTGCTTCACAGGCAGTGTCTTTACCCCCGGACGTGTTATTCGAGTCACCATCACCTTCTAACAAGGCCAGTGGATCTTCTCGAAACAAACAGGCTGTACTCTCGCCTTCAAATTCGTCAAAGGGTAAAGTTTCAGCATCAGGCCTGAAGGTAACAATGTGAAACCCCCGTTTACCCAACTATGACTATGTTCGATAAATCTAGCTTTTCGAGCTTATAGCTTAGTTTATGACTTATAGCTGAAGAGTTAGCTTATATGATAAAAGTTTTTGGTAAAAATTCCACAAGCTTATTTGAAAAACTACTCGAGCTTTCCCGTTAGGCTGAAGTCTTTGGCCTTTCCTTCTCCGTGCCCGCTCACGCTTCGCTGACTCGAGTTTTTTAAAATAGCTCGTCCTACAAAAGAAGTTTATTTGAATTCAGGAACTTAGGAAGCTTATAAGCTAATCAAATAATTTAAAAACTAGCTTATTTGATTACCAAACATAGCCAATATTTGCAATTTTGGCATTTATCTTTGCGTGTTTTTTTTTTTTTTTTTTTTTTTTTTTTTTTTTTTTTTTTTTTTTTT